TGGCTGACCACGGTTCGAGTCCTGGACCTGGTGGCTTGCTTTCTCACTTCCCCTCTCTCTCTCTCTGTCTCTCTCTGGTCAAAATTAAAAATGAATGGATGAATAAATAAAATTAAATAAATAATTTTAAAAAAAGAATTATTCATTTAACTTTATTTATTTATTTATCTATCTATCTATTTATTTATTCTCATTTGACCAGAGAGAGACAGAGTAAGTGAAAGAGAGAGACAGAGAAAGAGAGAAAGCAAGCCACCAGGTCCAGGACTCGAACCATGGTTGGCCATGTGGGAGTCCAGTGCCCTTAACCACCAATGCCACCTGCTGGCCCCCTAAGATTTCTTAATTGTGTTTTGCAGAGAATGAAATTGATATGCATTTAGTTTATTTATTTAAGTTTTTGCTATAGGGGATGTGTGCTTGCTAGAGAGAGAGAAAGAGGGAAAGCAGAACCCCCCCAGGGGGAATGGCTATGCCCCAATCCCTTCTCCTCTATTCTCTTGGGATTTTTGGGCACACACGCACACACGCCTGGCGTGAGTTTCAAGCCACTGGGTCCAGCCTTGCACTACTGCGTTGGCCATGAGGGATCCAGCGGCCTTAACCTCCATGCCTGCCGGCTCTCAGGGCATCTTCATACGGAAGCCCCAAATCCCCGCAGAGGCCCTGAGAGCCCGTGGGGTTGTGGCCACACCCCTAACGACTGTCCCCGCCCTCCCGCTAGACGCCCCAGCTGGTGGAGGCCGAGGAGGACGTGTCCTATAACTGCTGCCGCCGGGGCAAGGTGCGCCTGCAGGTGCAGATGGACAGGAGCACCTTCCAGCCGGGCGAGAAGGTCGTGCTCACCACGGAGATCCGCAACCAGACCAGCAGGTGCCTCAAGACCGTGCTGGTCGCCCTCTACGCCCACGTGCGCTACGAGGGCTTCACGCCCAGCGCCGAGTGCCGGGCGCGCGTGGAGAGCAGCGAGCTGCTGCGGCAGGAGGCCAGCACGCACGTAGCCGCCTTCGCCGTCACCAAGATGGTCAGCGCCTTCAACCTGCCGCCCGTGCTGTCGCTGAGCGCCGCGGCGCAGGACGGCGAGCTCATGAGCACGGACTACGAGCTGGTCGTGGCCGTGCACCTGCCCTGGTCGCTGAGCAGCGTGCGGGCCCGGGTGCCGGTCATCGTCACCTGCCGCCCGGTGGACGCGGCCGGCTGCCCGCGCGCCGAGGAGCGGAGCCTTCCCCGAGAGCCAGGGTCACCCGGATTCAGCGCGCAAACGTCTACATATTAAATGCTTTATCAGACTTAGGCTGCCTCTGTGGCCTGCTGGGTGAGGCAGCTCGATCCCACACGGCCTATCATGGTTCGAGTCTCAGCCCCGGTGGCTAGATGAACACCCTGGCCACGTGTGCATGGGTGCCCTAAATCCCAACAGGATGGAGAAACGGAGGGATGGCAGTGACCACACCCCATGGCGAGGGTCCTGTCTCCTCTTCCTCTGTCGTCTGTCTGAAAAGAAGCTTCTCAGACCCTACCTGAAGCCCTTGGGGAGAAAGACCCTAGCTCTCCACGCTGCCTCTGCCTTACCTCGCTCCGCCCCGGCCTCTCTGGGCTCACACTTCCGGAGCCGGGGGTCCTCGGCCAGGGGTCCCCCCGGGGGGGGGGGGCCCTGATAACCAGCCTTCGGTTGTCATGGCTGGGGGGCAGGAGGAACTCCCTGGCATGGAGAGGGCGGAGGCAGGGATGCGGTTCAGTACCCCAGTGCCCAGGCCAGCCCCACAGTCAAGAATTATCCAGCCTTGGGACCAGCAGATGGAGTAATGGCTACATCACTGGACTCCCACAGAGTCGACCGCAGTTCAAGTCCCAGACCCGGCAGCTTAAAACACACAGGGCACGTGTCCATGCGTGCCCAAGATCGCAAGAGGAGAACGGATTGCAGCGTGGTCATCCCCCCCAGGGGGCGATCTCTCACTTTCAGTCTCTCTTGTCTCTGGCAAGCATGCGCACCCTATGACAAAAATCTCTCTAAGAAAAAGAATTATCCAGCCTCAAGAGTCCAGGGTACCAAGGAGGTGGGGGAGCCCCGGGCTGGGGCAGGTCCCAGGGCAGGGAGTTGCTGAGCCCGGTGGCCACTGTGTTGTGGCTTCTGTCCAGCCAGAACCCTTCTCCCCCTTCAGCTTCCCAAGATCCTCCTAGAAAAACACCTACACTCCTCACCCTCGCCAACCCATCAGCAAGCCTCGGTGAGCCTTCTCCCGAGTTACCAGAACCTTCCCACTAGCCCCTCCCGCCTGGTCTGACTCACCGTCATCCCTTACCTGCAGGAGGGCAGAGGCCCCTGCCTGACCCCCACATTCACTGCTCCCTGGATCTGGCTGCTAGAATGCACACATCCAAATCCAGGGTGCCCAGTTCCATTCGAATTTCGAAAGAACGGGAATTTTATTCCCAGTATAAGTATGTCCCTCGACGTGTATGGGATATACTTACACTCTTGGGAAACTGTGTGTTGGGCTGGCCCGTGGCCTAGTGGCTAAGGGCTGAGTCCTAGAGATTTCACAGGACTCAGTAACCCACGTCTTGGTATTTACACACAGGACAGGAAAACGCTCCATCGGAAACACACTTGTGCGTCCATGTTTACTGCAGCATTACTCACAATCGCTAAGCCAAGAACCGACCTCAGAGTCCAGAGGCTGATGTCTGGGTGGGCAAACTGGCACACATAGCCATGGACTAGTACTCAGCCGTGAGGAACAATGACATCCTGTCATGGGGCTCAGCGTGCATGAAGGCAGAGGACTTACTGTTGAGCGAAGGGAGCCAGACTTGGAAAGAAACACACGGTATATCCCCACTCAAGTTGCCTCATTTTTTAAAAAAAGATTTATTTTTATTTCTTATTCATTTTTACTTTGACCAGAGAGAGAGAGAGAGAAAGCGAATATGAGAAGGCAACCCGCCAGGTCCAGGACTCAGACTGCGGTGGGCCCTATGGGAGTCCAGCACCCCAACCCCCAGGCCACCTGCCGGCCCCGCTCCCCACTCGGTTTGTACGGAGTGTCTGCACTCTATGGCAGAGTTTGAGCGATCTGAAGATGTGATGGTGGAGAGGGTGGGTGTGGATGGTAGAGGCGGTACAGGGGGAAACTGGCTGGGAGATTGTGATGGTGAAGGGTGAGGGAACAAGAGGGAAAAAGGAAAAGAAAGGGAGGTCGAATCCCACATGGCTGACCATGTGGTTCAAGTCCAGGCCCCAGAGGCTGGAAGAACATGGGGACGTGTGTGTGTGTGTGTGTGTGTGTGTGTGTGTGTGCCACCAAACTCAACAGGGTGGAGAAATGGGGAAAGGATTAAAGCAAGGTCACCCCCACTGGTGGAGCGTGCTCCCTCACTCTCTCCCTCCCTCCCTTGCTCCCTCGCTCGCTCCCTCCCTCCCTCACTCGCTCCCTCCCTCCCTCGCTCTTGTGCTCTCAGGCAAGCACAAGTCCTCCAGCAAAACTTAAATTTTAAAAACAATTTGTTGGGGCCAGTAGGGGCGTGGTGGTTAGGGCTGCTGGACTCCCACATGGCCAACTGCAGTTCAAGTCCCGGACCTGGCAGCTTGCTTTCTCACTTTCCCTCTCTCACTCTCTATTTTTTTAATCAAACTAAAACAAATAAATTAATTAAATGAATGCATAAATAAAATTAAATAAATAATTCTAAAAAAAGAACTTTAAAAAAAAAAGAGGCTTTTGCTATAGGGTGTGTGCACTCGCCAGAGAGACAGAGACAGAGAGACAGAAAGCGAGAAATCACCCCCCAGGGGGGATGGCCACTCCGCAATCCCTTCTCCTCCATTCTCCTCTTGGGCACACACACACATATGTCCTGCATGAGTTTAAGCCACCAGGTCCAGGACTCAAACCACGGTCGACTACATGGGAGTCCAGCAACACAGCCATTACACCAACTGCTGGTCCCAAAAGTTAAATACTTCTTTAAAAAAATTGTCTGGGGGCCCACAGGTGGCGTGGTGGTTAAGGGCGCTGGACTCTCACATGGCCGACCATGGTTCAAGTCCTGGACCTGGTGACTTGTTTTCTTGCTTTCTCTCTCTCTCTCTCTCTGTCCCTCTCTGGTCAAATTAAAAATAAGAAAACAAAGTTAAATAAAAATAATTCTTTAAAAAAAAGATTGTTGTCTGACATTTGAAGTTAAATGAATGTCCTAAATTTTATTTTTTAATTTGCTAAAGGGCATATGTACTAGCCAGAGAAACAGAGAATGAGGGAGGGGAACAGGAACGGGAGGAAGCACTTCCCCGTGGGAGATGATCACCCTCCGTCCTGTTTCTCCTTCTCTCCGCCCCTTCCTCCTTTCTCCTTTAGGGATCATGGGCATGTGTGCAAACTGTTTTCCAGGCAGCCTGGTCTGGTCCAGGATTCGAACCATGCTGCAAGCCACATGGGATCCAGCCGCCTTAGCCACCACGCCACTGGCTGGCCACAGGCATCTGCAACCTTTTTAGGGATGGCACATCTGAAGCATTCAGGAGGCTCAGCAGACAGACCAGGCCACATCCTTCCTCCACTCAAAGCCTCCATCGGGCCGGTCAGTGGTGTGGTGGTTAAGATAGCTGGATCCCACGAGGCCGACGGCGTGGTTCGAGTCCCACACATGGTGGCCTAAAGACATGCCCGTGCGTGTGCATGTGTATCCACAATCCTTTCTTATTTTTAAAGGATGACTTTATTTATCTTTATTTATTTATTTTAATTTGACCAGAGAGAGAGAGAGAAAGTGAAAAAGCAAGCCGCCAGGTCCAGGACTCGAACTGTGATCAGCCATGTGGGAGTCCAGTGCCTGTAACCGTCACGCCAACTGCCGGCCTCTATCCAAAATCTTGAGAGGAGAAATGAAAAAGATTGCAGTGTGGTCATCCCCCAGGAGGGGTTGCTTTTTCACTCCCCCTACTCCAGCGAGTGCCCTGGCCCCGTCACGAAAAGAAAACAAACCCAGGGTCAGCAGGTGGCACGGCGATTAGGGCGCTGGACTCCCACAGGGTCGACCATAGTTCGAGTCCCAAACCCGGCGACTTGCTTTCTCACTTTCCCCCTCTCTTTCTCTGTCTCTGCTGAGCTCATGTGTCCTGTTGCAGATTGGAAAATAATAATAAATAAAATACTGAAAAGAAAACCAATCTGTATCAAATCCCCACGACCCTTAAAACCAAAAATGTTCGCCTTGGCTGACAAGGGCCTGCGTGGTGACACCGAGGGGCTGCTTGGAGCCGGTCTTCCAGGGTAATGACTCCGAAATATCTCCCAGACACCCTCAGGCAGCAACACACCTGCACCCGCCCCACCCCTGCCTTGGGTGCGCCATCAGTTGTACAGCCCGAACGGCAGGGCCTGCGGCATTCCAGAACATTCCGGAACATTCCAGAAGATGCACCATCTCTGTAGGGCCGTGCCAGCAGACACTTGTTCTTGTGCAAAAAAAAAAAAAGAGGGGAGAGAGGAGATACAAAACACGGATTAAATCATTTTTCAAATTCACTTTTTTAAAAGGCAATATTCATTTTATTTCATTCATTTTATTTATTATCATTCTTATTTTTCAATTTGCTATAGGACAGGTGTGCTCACCAGAGAGAGAGAGAGAGAGAGAGAGAGAGGCTGCCGAGTTTGGGATTCAAACTGTGGTCGACCCTGTGGGAGTCCAGCACTGCATCCACCACGCCACCTGCTGACCCTATTGTTACTAGTTTTTAAAATAATTATTTTATTTAATTTTTAAAAATTATTGTTACTTTAATTTGAACAGGGAGAGAGGGGAAGTGAGTAAGCAAGCACCAGGTCCGGGACTCAAACCGTGGTTGGGATGTGGGCGTCCGGCATCTGCTGGCCCCTAAATTCCCTTGTTTTTAATGGAAGAAAGCGGGCCAGGGCCTCCCTCCTCGCCACACTGTTAGAGCTACTCTGAAAACCCGGTCTGGTCAGGGCGGGGGCCCTTTATCCCTGGAGGTGGTCCCTGGGCTGGGGAAGGCTGTGTCTTGGCCTTTTTATTATTTTAAGAATTATTTTAACTTGGTCTTTTTGTTTTGTTTTAAGAGAGAGAGAGATTTTTGCTATAGTGCACGTGTGCTTGCTGGAGAGACAGAGAGAGACAGAGATGGAAAGAGAGAAATCACCCCCAGGGGGGATGGCCACACTGCAATCCCCCTCCTCCATTCCCATCTCAGGATCTTGGGCACGGAGTGGGTTTTCACTCGCTGGGTCCCAGTCTCAAACCATGGTAGACCACGTGGG